CTGTTGTACATTCTAGACAACTACCTGTGATGAATCTGACAGAAAGGGTGGATAAGGTACCGTATGAGGAGACGACACAGCATCTCTCGCCAGTACCCTTTCACGAAACAAGCTTAACACAGATACCTGTAACATAGTGTCAAGTGACACTAGAACGCTATCTCTCAATACAACGAAAACATGATGTGGGTCGTCGTACCGATGATTTAGCCTTACATGCTGCGTCCGGGCTCCTGAGATGAACCGATGCTGTTCCCTACTATCTCTGTTTGAACACCGCGGTAGAGATTCGGCGGTACACCAACATTTACCGTATGCATTGTTGTTTGTGTATTTTAGTGATGTTTAAAAGACACAGGGGATCTACCGACGGACTGTTTAGAATGGGTAACATTTTGCAGGGAGCTCGCCACAAGCCGTTGTAGGCAGGAGTGAATACCGTGTGAATACACAATGTGATTTTGGAAAATTGCACAGTATATGAATCTGATTTGTAGTATGACCTCAACACATGGATTATGATAGTAGCAACTGGCCATAGACTGGGACTTGTAACAATAAAACAAAAAAAAAGGAAGAGAAGGTCGGTATAGCACGTAAATACTAGATATAATTATCAAGAACAGATGTAACATGTGTATATTGTAAAGTAAGAGAAATTAAACACGGTTGTATTACGGTGATAACTATTTAGATAAAGAATGAACAATAGGTAAATGGTCTGGTCACTAATTTATATTAAATATGCAACACACACAGCACACACACACACACACATCTGAAGTAATCACAGCATCTGATCTCAACACACACAGCAGTTTTTTTTCCAGTTGGTGAGCGGCAGCCAACAGTGTACTACACACACAACATGTGCACAACGAAGAGAAGCAAAGTGCTGAGGACCTCACACATACACTTACACATTATGTATTGCACACATCACACACACACTTATGATTGCACATTTTGATTTAGCCCTTTCATCAATCAAACAAAGGACTTAAAAAAGATTGAAATTAAAAAAGGAAGTGATAGTAACCAACTTCTTCCAGTCTCATGTAGACCCACATTGGTCCAAAGTGATCGAGACTAATTTCCCCCTTTTTTCTATATCCTATCTGCAAAAATTCTGGGAAAATGTAATTTAAAGATTTTTGTTACTGCTGTCTGTGCAACAATTAATAAATGTTAATTACTGACAAAATACCTATTAACTATAGATTTGCATTTGATCTTTGGAGGTTTAATCTCTAATGCACTTACCTATATATTGCCTTAATATCAAACACATACAGTAGCTCCATAAGATCTGTCAGTTTTGGAAATAGGGTTGTCCAATTAAATACAAAGAATGAAAAAAAATCAGAATAAACAAATATAAAAAAAAACAAAACAATTAAAAATTGGTCTGTGAAAAACTGAATTTTTCTTGATTACTAGCATCTTAATGAAATATTTACCATCCTAACTGCCTTCCATTATTCCTTTTTAACCGATGGACTTGTGCATCATCTTTGGTCAAAGTAAGTACATTCTGACAGCTCAATCCTTTAGAGCACTTCCGATATACCATAAGCATGTTATATCAAAGCATCTCTTGTATTTTTCACATTTCTATCATTATTTTATTTACATTATAATCCGGATTTGATTTAATCTTTAATGCACTAAATCACCAGACAATTCTTTCATGTTCTGATCTGATATTTGAATTGAATCTTATCTTACACAGCAACAGAAAAGAGGAGAGCTCTTTCCTGTGCTTCAGCTCTTTGATCCTCGCTCGCGGGCACACCACCACGTACACAGCAGGCGTGAGGACGATCTGCAACCCGGCGTGCCTTCAACATAATTACCTATAGCTGTAACATCCTGGTCTTAATTACCCGAGGGGCGCTTCAACTGAACCATTAAGCGATCCGAGCATTTCGTTTAATGAATAATAGGACGGACTGCAATTTCCCAATTCAACCCCCTTCCATTAATATCATGATTTATTTTAAAAAAATGATGTCTGAGTTTATAGATTATAATAATCACATTTTACATCAGGTTATTCCAGTGCTGAGGATAGGGAAAACTGCTCATGCTCCAACAGTTAGGTTGTTATAGATTTGAGGCTTATTTGGAGATGATTCAAATATGAACAAATAGACTACTTTAAAATGACTCAGTGGCCCATATCATTGCTTTTTAAATGAACATAATATGTATTCCATGGTATTTCAAGTGGCTTTTTAAAAAAGGTCACCAACTGGTTAGTGAAATTAGGCAATCATCCCTCAAAACTAACTGACTCCTTAAAAACGTATCAATACTCAATCAATGGGTCCAAACGGTGACAGTTTTGGTACTGTGGTAAACATTTTATTATTGAGAAGGAAACGGCAACATGAAAAACAATTGCATTGCCACTTTTATTTCCCACTTTTGAGGAGAAACATGGCCTGTACAGGAACACATATTGGTTTTCAGATACAGTTGGCATGATGAGAGGCGTAAGTTGACATGGGGTGGAGGTGGGCGGGGTGGGGGTGGCGGTGGGGGGGGTTACAGATCTCTCTTGGATTTGCTTCTAATTTGGGCAGCGCTCGGCAGTCTGAGCCCTTTTCCTCCAAGTCACACAAACCTGGGACTTGCGTGGCAGCCGATCATCGACCCTGGTGAACATTCAACGCCCGCGCAGGCACATTAATATTTCTTTCACCGAAATATTGATTCCTTGGCGTTTGCCAAAACAGACCCTATTTCAGGTGGAATCAATACATTAGAAAACAATTAAAATGCTGAAATTATCTTTAAAAAATAAAAATGCAATTCAAGTAGACGTGAGAAAAAAATCAACCGTGAAAGATAATTTGCTATTCTCCTAGGAAAGCTTTGATATGTACAGAACCGGGCCGTAGTGATTTCTGTAGTGGCAAACCTGAAAATCATCATGTTGTTGGAGTGAGGCGATGCTTGCTGGCAAATGAACTTGGCACTTCTACAGCAAGGTTAAATAGTGTATGCTCCCTAATGTATACAGCCTACAGCGATTTCTGGAGTGATGGCTTTATTTCATAAATAAAACGTCGCTACAATAATTCTTCTCAATAATCATAAAAATGCATCAAAGTCATAAGGCAGTGAAAGCAAACCGTTTGCTTGCCGTGCACACAGGGATTCGGCGTGCAGGCGGATCGAGAACCATTTTTTTTTTTTTTTTTAATCGGACGGCTTTCAGTATAATCTTGCCGTTTGTTTGATAATGCAACGTTGCGTCCTTCTCATGCAAGATGCATTCATGTATTTTGCAGGTGATGGTTTGCGACTAGCGGAGAGCTGCAGCATTCGGAGAGTAGGAGCCGTTCTAGTCTTCTGAGAGTCTCGGAGTATTATGGTGGAGGTGGATTCTGGGAGGTTGAACAGAAAACAGCCCTCAGTGTTACTCCTGGAAGAACAGAGAAACAGCAGTCAGCACATCATGAATATTTAATCACAGATGAACCTTAAGCCACAGTGCAAGCTGCCAAAGACTGGAAAAGACCCTGATAAATATTTATGGCAATGTTACCACCATAAACAGATGCACAGAGGGACTACAGAGTCACAGAAATGCACACACAACATAGATACACACAGGCTTCAGGGTAAGGTTGAAACTAACAAACTAAATAACTATGCTCCCAGTGGGTCTACAATTCTACTGCCAATTCACAGCCGAGGAATAAAGCATCATTCTCTTATCCCAATGAATCTCATATGTGGCCTTCATAAAATAAAAAGATTTGGAGAATTTGCTCCTCAACATGGAGGGATTCTACCTTTCAGCACCAATTGGAAATGTAGTTCATCTGATGGATGCGTTAAGTTGTATAGACTTTGAGATTAGTTAGGGTTATTCATAAATGTTATGCGATGCAAGGGATATACTGAATCATGTGGCAAAAGAATACATGGGGAACGGATATTAAACGTATAGATGTGATTGACTGTGCAGCTTCCGAACCCACTGTAAAGCCCTCATTACTTGAGTATAATTGCGTAATTCATTAAACTAACGACACCTCTTAGCTGGTATCTTATATGTTTTGTAGTTATATCATTTATTCTTTTAACTAGAAGTAATGTATTTTAAAAACAGGGATGTTGTGGATGTTGTTCCATAAATATAGTATTTCTGCTGATGAATTATTATCATGAGTGATCAGTTAGGGATGCAGACAGCCTGATGAAGGGAAGATGGCTTGACATGTTTGCTTAATAAAGCTTGGTTTGCTGAAGACGTGCTTTCATTTTGAAGGACTTGGAACTCACGCAGGTCAGCACCTCGCTGCGTGTTTGTTCTCAAAGCAAGAAATTGATTTAAATGTTTACTCTCGACTACACTACTTAAATGTTGTTTCCGATACCGTTGATCCCCAACACACTGTGTGTATCTACGGTGGACACGCATCCAAAAGAACAGAAAAACACATTCAGCATCCTGTTAATAGTGGTAGAAAAAGGAGTTCTTACAGAAATCAGACACGACTGAGAGCAAGGCCGCAGAAACAAAGCCAAGCATTCCCATGTGGTGAGTCACACAAGTACACACATGCATGCCCTTCATCCCAAACCCTGCGCCTTGGGATCTCTTAAGTTAAGAGCGAATGAAATAACAAGCTTCAGAGCCAAAAAGGTGAATTAGAATAAACGGGACAAACCCAGTTTCCAGAGAAAAGGAGGCGAGGGTTTAACGACATGCTGTGGTGACATGGAATGAGAGGGTCCCTCACGCAGCTCCACACCTGAAATAATCCCCACTACACTGCCAGCGGGCAAGTTGAAACACAAATGGCTGCATTTGTGAAGTTTTCAGTAACACAGGCAGAAGGACTGCTGACCTATTCATCCCCCCCACCACAGAAAGGAAGAATGCAACTGAAAAGAGCCATATGTCACAAATAGTTTGAAACACAAGTGTCCTGAAGAGACACTTTTAACATGACAGAAATTCAGCTCATGCATGAACATTTCTCAGACTCATTTCAAGTGGTCATGTCAGTAAGGAATAGGATGTCTCTTGTTTGGACTGAGTTGAAAAAAAGACTAAAGCTCGTCTTTGTTCACTCGAGATCAGATTTCAGTCGATACGCTCCTCACAGTCTGTCTGCAGACTGTGAGGAGCAGGAGCCGGTTCTGCTGGTATTTAATCGCTCATCACTGTCGGGGCCCTTTGTGAGGCGACACAATGTAAACAAAAAAATGTTGATCAATGTTTTTACAGAATATTGCACGACATGCAGGTACATCGTTTTCAACCTTACTAGTTTCTTTCTGTACTGTAAACACGTCTCCAGTCCCCACATGGTCTTATTTAGGGGTTAGTTTGTTTTAGAAAGCGACAACCCTATTGTCAGAACATAGGTGGGGGGGGGGGTTATGCATGTTACATGGTCTGTCCACACAGAAGCACTCTCTAAAAAGAAGCATTGTTTCTTTCCAGCAGGGGGCAGTGTTGCAGTCGTATTACAGGAGATTGCATGAGACTGCCAGGAGCATTGCTGTAAAGCGTTTTAAGCCTTGTCATTAAAGTGGAGACTATCCGGTGTGTGCACATCAGCTGACCTTTTCCCTGCATGTGGGGGGGAAGGCACAC